GCGAGCTCCAGAGGTCCTCCCGGTGTTCCCTTTACCCCTTGCCCCCCTCTCTCCAGGGCAGCATCTCTGAGAATGGGGGCCTGTGGTAAGTGTGTCCAGCAAATGGGGGTATGGCTTGCCTGTCCGCTTTTAAGTGCTTCATGACCCACATCCAGGCATACACGTGTCCTTCCACTGCTTGCTTCTGTTCCTCATCAGTTTTTCATATGGTCATTTTTCATGTTACTGAGATTGTGCTTTGTGTAATGTTTTATCTTTCCCACTTAATAATTTGCTGTTGCGAACATCATTTATTTAAGTTTGTAATTTTGAAACTTGGAATCATTATTTAAAGGCAGAAAAACCATATGGTATCAGCATATTTAGAAAATAGCCTTCTTTTCTAAAAAGATAATTTTTTCTTGGTTCTAAGAGCAATGTATTACTTAAGGATTTGCCAGAATTAGCCTCTTATTCTTGTAGCTGTTCCCAGTGCTCTTCCCTCACAAATGAGCAGGCAACCATCTTCCAGACTTTATATAGTGTATTCTCAGCAGTGCAGGTGCCAGATCGGGGACTGAACCTTGTTTAGGGCGCTGGGTGTGCAATCCATTGGCTTTCTGTCCGAGCTATGTGACCCATTCTTTTGCCTATTCTGTTTGTCGAATTCTGTGAGCTCTTGTGTCCATTGTCCATTGTCACTTTTTATCATGGAGTTTACTGATTTGTTTCATGACAAACAGCCCTTTATTAGGTCTTTTCTAAATACCTTTCAGTTTGTCATTTACCTTTTATTTTTTATTTATTTATATTTTTATTGATTTCAGAGAGGAAGGGAGAGGGAGAGAGAGATAGAAACATCAATGATGAGAGAGAATCACTGATTGGCTGCCTCCTGCACGCCTCCTACTGGGGATAGAGCCTGCAACCCGGGCATGTGCCCTTGACTGGAATCGAACCTGGGACCCTTCACTCTGCAGGCTGACGCTCTATCCACTGAGCCAAACCAGCTAGGGCTCATTTACCTTTTAATTAGAAAAGTAAATAAGAAGTTAGACACACTCCTGCCTTACGGCCCAGTCATTCCAGGCTTAAGTACTTACCCAAGAGAAACAGGCACATTCTGCACCAGCATCCATGCAATGTTCAAAACTGCATCAACTCACCAAAAACAAACAACAACCCAAATGTACATCCACGGTGAAGGATGAGCAAGCTGTGGCCTCTTCACCAGCCATGTGGACACATCTCCAGCTGTTAAGCTTCGTGAAGGAAGCCATCCACAGTGAAGGGTGAGCAAGCTGTGGCCTGTTCACCAGCCATGTGGACACATCTCCAGGTGTTAAGCTTCGTGAAGGAAGCCAGGCAAACAAGGGAGCACGCTGCTGGACAGGAATCCTAGGAAGTGCATCTGTGGCCATCGGGGATATGGGCTTTAAGAGGCATAGGGGCCATAACCGGTTTGGTTCAGTGGATAGATTGTTGGCCTGCAGACTGAAGGGTCTCAGGTTTGATTCCAGTCAAGGGCACGTGCCCGGGTTGTGGCTCAGTTCCCAGTGGGAGGTGTGCAGGAGGCAGCCAATCAGTGATTCTCATCATTGATGTTTCTATCTCTCCCTCTCCCTTCCTCTCTGAAATCAATAAAAAATATATATATATATTTTTAAAGAGGCATAGGGGCTCTCGCTTGTTTAGCTCAGTAGATAGAGCATTGAACCGCATCCAGTACAGCCAGGGGTGAACCTGAGGAGGGGTGGTGAAGGTTTAAAGCAGTGGTTCCCAAACTTATTTGGCCTACCGCCCCCTTTCCAGAAAAAATATTACTCAGCCCCTGGAAATTAATTTTTTAAAAATTTTAATAGCAGTTACTCATCGCCCCCAAATGCACCTGTGGCCATCACCGCCCCCCTGGATCGCTGCAGCGCCCACCGAGGGGCGGTAGCGCCCACTTTGGGAATCACTGGTTTAAAGAAAATAGACAAGAGAATGCAGCTGGGGCCAGGTAGGATCACTGCCTAGATGAGAAGACAGTGACAGCTTGTAAGCGAAGCTTTATTTTATAGTCTGATCACACAAAGCAAAACAAGGGGAGTTGTCAGCATGTTTGCAATGTCCTTGCGAGTTTCAAAATCTATTTCGTTACTCAAGCCTTGTTTTGGCAGCACTTGCTGCACTTCCCACAGCCCATTAGCTACCTAGGAACAAGGGAGGACTATAAGGTCAAGCTTAATTGTGCTAAGAGGGCTCTGCCCTCCAAGCTGGGATTTGTATGTGGCTCTGCCACAGGTGAGTCTGTATATTTTAAAAAATAAAAATAAAAGAGGCATAGGGGCGTCTGGGGGTGATGGGTACATTTGTGATCTCATTTGTGGGGTGCTTTCAGGAGGCACATGTGGGTCAGAGCTCACTGCTGACACATTATATGGGTACAGTTCGTGTTAATAAAGCTATGGAAACAAATCAAATAACGAAGGCAAAAACATTTATGCACAAATAGAAGCAAAAACCCCATGATCCTAATACCTAATGGTTAATGTCTGGGTGTATCCTTCCAGATGTTTATCCAAAAAATGGAACCACGCTGTATAGGCCACTTTGTAACCAACTTTTTAGTCAGGTTTGTTGAGATGTCATGTCCAGTGGAGCTCATCCTTTTTGGAGTCAATTTGGTGAGTTTTGATAGTTAACATGATTATCTCCTTGCTGAGGTGCAGATCCAGCTCCACCACCTGAAACTTTCCTCCCACTCCTCCGCCATCCCTTCCCTCCCACTCTACCGCTGAGGTGCAGATCCAGCTCCACCACCATCCCTCCCACTCCTCCGCCATCCCTTCCCTCCCACTCTACCCCAGCAGCCCCTGCTCTTACCTCGAAAGTAGGAAACAGCCTTTAGTAGCTTCCTGGGGCCTGATCTTTGAGGCTGTCCATGTGCTTACTTGTCATAACTTGTTTTTCCCTTCCTAAGAAACCAACCATTTTTGTCTCTAAACAGCCCTCAGTTCTCCGTTTCACCTCATCCTGCAGTTTGACTAGTCCCCTGTCTTACCACACGTGTGTGCACCTGTGAGCACATGTACGTGCACACATGGCGTTGGTGGCCTTGCAGTGTCGGGTCTTCTCCCTGTCCTGTGGTGCCCCTCTCTATCAACTTCTGTTTTATTTTCCTTTATTAAATTCTGCTGGCTCCTTTTAGTCTGGCTTGTTTTTGCTGGTTGTTCGGTAGTGGTTTATGTAACAATTTTCTAAACCACTTTGACACACACAGCCCCCAGGGGACCCATGAGCAACAGGGTGCACCCTTCTCTGCATCCCGCTGTGGTCCCGGGAAAGCTGTCCTTGATGCTGGGCAGTCATAGTTTCCAGTCTGTGGAGCTGATGAACTGTGATGGACATAGCAACACTAGTCCCCCACCAGCCATCCTAGGAGGTGCTTGGCAAGCACCTGCTCTGCCAGCCTCATTTGATACTTGTGCACAACCCTCAGGGTCTCAGGGTGAGTGCTGGGTGGCACCTTCAGAGTATCCTGCCCACGTGGCCCGCTCCTTTGCCAGTTCTTCCCCGCCACCTCCCACATGGTGCCGAAATAAAATCCAGACTATTTTTATCCCTCCAGACTCCCTGTGGGCCAGCTCACATGTGCCCACGTGGGTAGCTGTGATGGCTGCTTTCTGCCTGTGTGCTCACCCCCATCTGCGTTCCCACATGTTCTGTCAGCGTGACCAGGCAGAGCCCCTGGTGGGCTTAGAGGTTTTAGCATCTGTGGATTGGTCCTGCGAGGTTCCAGTTTCAGATGTACTTGGTGCTGGGGCTAGGGTGTTGACGGTCAGGTGTATGTCCCAAGGGATGTTACTGCCCTGTGTCACCTCATTTGTCCTCCCTTTCACTGTAAACAGGAGCATTTCCCAAACCTCGCCTGCTGCCTCGTGAGCAGTGCAGTGCTGAGTCCACACTTTCCAGGGTGAGCCCGTCCCATCCTTTCTCTCTCTCCCAGAGTGTTGTCCCCACCATCCACTTTTCCTCCTTCTGCCTGCCTCCTAGGCTCCTCAGCTGGTTGAAGTCCTCAGCTGTGGCCCTGGAGGACTAACCCCCCTTGATATTTTGTCAGCTGGGTTAAGTGTACAGTTTCGTGGCAACCTTTTAAACCTAGTGTAGCAATCTTCTGGGATCCTTGGTCCCTGCTGCCGTGTCCCCTGTGGCTTGGCCTCGGTCAGGCCCCTCCCCAGGGCTTAGTGCACGAGTCACACTCCACAAAGCTGCCTGGTCACCTCCTTTCCTCCAAGGGCATCTGGCTATGGATCCTGACACGGCCATAGCTCGCCTGACTCCCTGCCTGTCTCTCCCCCAGGAAGCAGGTCTTGGGGACCAAGGTAGACGCGGAGCGGGATGGCGTAAAGGTGCCCACCACGCTGGCTGAGTACTGCGTGAAGACCAAGGCCCCGGCGCCCGATGAGGGCTCGGACCTCTTCTACGATGACTATTACGAGGATGCCGAGGCCGAAGCTGACAGCTGCTTTGGGGACGATGAGGATGACTCTGGCAACGAGGAGTCCTGACACCATGTCCCGCGCCGAATAAACTTACAGATTTTACCTCACCAGGCCCAGACTCTGTGGGCTCTCGGGCACCTCCTGACGCCGAGACTACCTCAGGGAGGTGGCTCCGCTCTTGCCTTGTCTCCTTGGTCTCGCTTTCCTTTTCCCATGTTTGTTCTGGGTTTTCCTCTGCTTCAGAGAGGAGGGGCCCCGTTAGTGCTGGGCACCTGGTGGGCCTCGGGGCAAAGGTGGCCTGAGGGGCCCGGACTCCAGTCCTGTCTACTGGAGCCAGAGACTTGGGGCTCCCAGCTCATGAGTGGACAGATTAACTTGTCGTCACCTCTTCTCTCGGCTTTGGTTTGTTTGGAATCTAAATAAAACAACTTTATGAGAAGCCCAGAGACCAACCTTTCCTTGGCCTCCCCAAGGACTACAGGGTACAGTGGCCGGGCCTGATGCCTGCAGCACCTAAGTGCGTGGAGCCCAGGGGCAGGCCTAGCACCTGGGTGCACTCCTGAGGCTGAGGATGTGGGCCCAAGGTCCTGAGCCCTAGGCTGGAAACAACCTGCAACCTCCAGCCCTCAGGTGGCTCCACCCTGCTGCCTGCAGATGCTGCACCCAGTGTCACCCAAGCCTCTGACTTTATTTCTGTGTAACTGAAAGGCCTGGAGCAAGCTGGATCCAGGGTCCGATGGTGACATCAGAACAAAGGCCCGAGTGAGGCCTGGCCTGACTGGTTGCTGTGGCTGGAGCCTATATGACCCCCATGCAGGTGGCGGACAGGTGCACCTGGGCCCTGGCAGACCCCGTAGAGCCTACGCACCTGGTCTGCTTCCTGCTCCATGAATGCACCACAGCCCCAGTGCCACAAGCACAGCTTTTATAGTTGGCCCTCACAATTTTGTTTGTTAACATGAATGATTTTCCTACATTAAAATGTGCAAAGTTTCACCCAGTTGTTTTAATTTCTTGCTTTCCTTAAACTCAACTGGTGGGCAGCACAGGGCCAGTGAGGCTCCTCTACTCTTCGACGAACACACCCACTCACCAGAGTACTCAACTGGATTTGAGCAGAGTTCCCCCACCCCCCATGGCAACCACACCCTTCCTCCTCCCTGGGCCTTGTCTAGGAGCCTCTGAGCCCCACTGTGCATGACAGGTGAGGCAGCCCTCAGAGCACCCATGAATATTCTTGGAGCCCCACATGTATGACCCTCTGCAGGCACCAAGGCCAGGACAACAGCCTGTGTTTTTAACTTGCAGGCACCTCCTGCTGCTCAGGCCTGGGGATGTACAGCCTCTCTTCAGTTCCTCTTTAAGTTAGAGGCATTTCCTGAGGGGGAAGCTGAGTCAGCCTCTGCACCTCGCGGGTGGTGAGGGGGAAGATGTCACCCACAGTGTGAGCTACTCTCGGGCTGTTTCCTGTGAGCCCGGCAAGTTGGTGGCAGCCTCCAGAATGACAGTGAAAGGGAAGGGCCTCCTGGGGTCCAGGAGCCACTAGCCTGCACCAGAAAGCCTTGTATCAGCAAACCAGGACCCTTGGCCAAACTAGCCACACCCCCTTTACTGGGTCTGGCTGTTTATGAGCTGCAGCTTCAGTACTGAGTAATGTCCCAAAAAGCCAAAAGTACTTAGTTTGGCCATTTATAGAACATTTTGTCAACCTCTGTCTTAGAGTCATGCCAGCACCCACTGCCACCCTCTGGCTTGTTGGTTCAGCTTCTCTCCTTTGGACCTCTTCCCTGTCTCCACACTCCCAGTGCTACAGAACAAACCACCTGAACTTAGTGACAGAGCCACTGCCACTTTATACTCCGCTTCTGTGGGTCAGGAATCAGGCGGCTTGTCCCCTCATCACCATGTCTAGGTGACTTAAATCATGGGACCTGGGGTCTTCTGGAGGCATCTTAACTCAGGTTGGGTGCCTGGGCTGGGGCAACTTCAAGCCCAGGCTCAGGGACTGAGTGGCCTGCACATGCCCCCACACCCATCACCAGGCTTCCTCTCAGCATGGTGGCACAGGCTCCAAGATGACGGTCCCAGGAGCAAGGTCATTTCTGAGCAGCCTTGGAGGTCACACCATGCCGCTTCAGCTGCACACAATTGGTCTAAAAAGGCACAAACCCACCCAGATTCTAGGAGGGGGGACACAGACCCTACCTCTTGATGGGAGCATGTCTGACGATCAGTGGCCATGTTCTAAAACCGCCACAAGCCCAGTCACCGTGGCACAGTGGTTGAGTGTCAACCTATGAACCAAGAGGTCATGGATCAATTGTAGTCACCGTGGCACAGTGGTTGAGTGTCAACCTACGAACCAAGAGGTCATGGATCAATTGCCGGTCAGAGCAATGCCTGAGTGGCAGGCTCAATCCCCAGTAGGGGGGTGTGCAGGAGGTAGCTGATCAATGTTTCTCTCTCATAGATGTTTCTATCTCTCTATCAGCCTAGTCACCGTGGCACAGTGGTTGAGTGTCAACCTACGAACCAAGAGGTCATGGATCAATTGCCGGTCAGAGCAAAAACAGGACACATGCCTGGGTTGTGGGCTCAATCCCTGGGGGTGGGGGGAGGGGTGCGGAGGGAGGCCATGCAGGAGGCAGCCAATCAATGATTCTCTCTCATCATTGATGTTTCTATTGCCCCCTCTTCCTTCCTCTCTGAAATCAAAATATTTTTAAATAAATAAATAAAACCGCCACAATCTGCCCTGGCCAGTGTACAATCTGCCCTGGCCAGTGTGGATCCGTTGGAGCATCGTTCCATACACCAAAAGATCGCAGTTTGATTCCCAGTCAGGGCACATACCCAGGTTTCAAGTTCAATCCCCAGCTGGAGGCAACCGATCCTTGTTTCTCATATCAATGTCTCTCTCTCTCTTTCTCTGTCCCTTCCTCTCTCTCTAAAATCATAAAAGTATGTCCTCGGATGAGGGTTTTTTAAAAATAAATAAAACTGCCACAATCTGTCCCCCTTTCCTCCATAGACTGTACTCCGCACGATTGCCAACAGCTTTTGCACACACAGATGTGACTAAAATATCTGAGGCCTCCAGTTTTGAATCATCTTTACTGACCAAGCCAAGGACAGGTGGCTTTGACATGCAGAACTTCAGTGTTCTAAGATGCATAATCTATATATATAAAAGCCTAATATGCAAATTGTCCCTGCGGGAGTTCAGCTGGGAGACGATCACTCGCTATGACATGCGCTGACTACCTGGGGGCGGTGTGGAACGAAGGGAGGCCCCGGCCGGCATCCGGAAGGCTCCGATCAGCCCTGATTGCCGGCCAGGCCTAGGTACCCTACCTGTGCATGAATTTCATGCACCGGGCCTCTAGTGGGGTTAATAATTAGAGTTGAGCCCTAGCTGGTTTGGCTCAGTGGATAGAGCTTTGGCCTTGGACTGAAGGGTCCCAGGTTTCATTCTAGTCAAGGGCACGCACCTTGGTTGGAGGCTCCTCCCCAGCCTGGGCCCGGGTCAGGGCTCGTGCAGGAGACAACCAATCGATGTTTCTCTCTGTCTCCCTGACCTGTGGTCAGCAGGATAACAGCCCCAGAGATGTCCATTCCCTAATCCCAGAGTCTGCTCTGGGGAAAAGCAGGAAACAGTTCTTCCCTGAGGGTCCTGCCTACACCGGGGTTTAGCCCAGTGAGGCCCACTTACTACTTCTAGCTTCCAGAACTAAGAGAATAAATTTGTGTGGTTTTAGGCACTAAATGTGAGGTAATTCCTTAATCTGTTACAGCTGCAGGCGGAAACTAACATCCCCAAACTCCGCTTTCTCTGTGTGGGCCTCCTCTCACTTTGGGCCACCCCCAGGCTGACATCCTTCCAGCTCCAAGTCCAGCAGAGAATGAGGCCTGTTTCTGAAAAGTACCAGTAGAAGAAACCCACACCATGGCCCTCAATGAGACTGCTTAGAACAGTGGTTCTCAACCTTCCTAATGCCACGACCCTTTAATACAGTTCCTCATGTTGTGGTGGCCCCCAATTTCATTGTTACAAATTGAACATAATTAAGGCATAGTGATTAATCACAAAAACAGTATGTAATTATATATGTTTTCCGATGGTCTTAGGCGACCCCTGTGAAAGGGTTGTTCGACCCCCAAAGGGGTCGCGACCCACAGGTTGAGAACTGCTGGCTTAGAACATTCTGCCCTGAACCAAAGGAGGGGGAATGGAGCAATCTGATTGGCCAATTGGGTTACAAGAATGGGGAGGGCTGAGGAGTAGGCTGGGAGGGAGGGAGGACTGAAGCCCCTGGGAGCCTTCATAACTGCCCCGGCCATGCCTGGCCCAGAACAGACATCACTGCTCAATATAGCACTCCATGCAGGTGAGCCTGACTAGGACCCTCAGATTTGTGGTCATCCCCCAAGTGCTCATAGCACACGAGTGTTCCTATCATCTGTATCCAGAATAACCAAAGTTTGGAAACAGCCCAAATGTCCACGGAACGATGAAGGGATAAACAAGATGTGGTCCATCCATACAATGGAATGTGATTCAGCTTACAAAGGAAGGAAATGCTGCTATGTGTTACAACATGGATGAACCTTGAGGACATTATGCTCAGAGAAATAAGCCAGACACAGAAGAACAAACACTGTGCGACTCCACTCATACGTGGTCCCTTAGAGGAGTCAAATCTGTAGAGACAGAAAGTAGATAAGTGGGCGCCAGAGAGCGGGGGTGGGGGCGGAGGAAGGTTTAGAGTGTTTAATGGGGACAGCCTGTCAGTTTGGGGAGATGAGAAAGTACTGAAGATGGATGGTGGGGTTGAGTGGCTACACAACAACATGAATGAGCTTAATGCCACTGAGCTGTATATTTAAAAATGGCTAAGATGGTACATTTTATGTTATATATGTATTTCGTCATGATAAGAAACGGGGCCAAGAAAACAACCACCTTAAAACCACACACACAGAGGTGTGAGATGGGGGTTGAACATGATGGGATATTAGATGATGAGGGGGAACTTTTGTTAATTTTTCAGGCGTGATGTGTAGTGTGGTTTTCTCTTCAGAGAGCCTTTTCTGAAATGCTTCTGGGTGAAAAGCAACTAGCTGGGGG